CACCCCCTTTCGGGGGAAATCTCTTCCTTGTCGGCCACTGACCTTGAGGAAGTATCGAACGGGAGCCCTTGTCGTCGTAGTTGGGCCTCCACCAATTTTACTGGAGCACGAGAAAGTCTCAAGCGAGAGCGCCGTTCCTGAGCTCGGGGGCAGTCCTGGCCAGGGGCTTTCGGAGGAAGCCGTGAAGAAGCCTCGAGCAGGAGCCCCTGTCGTCGTGGCTGGGCCCCCGCCAACTCAACTGAATTGCGAGGACGTCTCGAGCGAGACCGCCGATCCTGAGTTCGCGGGCCTCTCTTGCCAGGGTGTCTCTTTGGACACCCGAAATGGGTACCGAAAGAATGAATACAATGCCCAACAACAAATGTTGTCCCAAACCAACAGCGGCCGCTGTTGCGCAGGCGGTCTTCTGTCTCGAATGGACACAGGCCGCGGCGGCGTGGACAGCGAATCCTGTTCAGAATGAACAGAAACTGCTGTTGGGCATCGTACCCATTCTTTCCGTGCCCATCTCGGGCGTCCAGAGTCTCGGAATACTGTGCGGAAGTATCGAGCGGGAGCCGTTGCCGTCGTACCTGGGCCTCCAAAGGCCCGCTTTTACACTCAAGCCAACGCTCGAGCGGGAGCCTCGCTGTCAGAGAGAATGTAGCCCGCGCCCAGGCGAGAGCGCGCGGAACCGCTTCTGGAGATCAGCAATGAGTGTTCTCTAAAAATGACTTTTCAACACCAATAACAACAACAACAACAACAACACCAACAACAACAACAACAACAACAACAACCACAACAACAGCAGCAACAGCAACAACAACAACAACCACAATAACAACAACAACAATAACAACAACAACAACAACAACAACAACAACACCAACAACAACAACAACAACAATTACTAGCACGTGGGGACACACCGTTCTCACCAGTGCCAGGGTTTTCATAGGAGGCGGGCAATACCCCCACTTTGTGGGGGGGCCGGTTCAAACTCTACCAAATTTCCAAACGACTCTTCGCCACCACCCACACCCAGCTTCCCGCCCTATGACGTTCGGACACTTCACTTCGTGGCATGCGGACGACCGTGGCTACTATTCAGGGCCCCGCGGCCGACGACGACGGCGTGCGCGCGCGAAGAAAAAACGAATGTGTCCCGCATGGTATTATTTGACAGGGATGATGGCCCTGGCAGGTGCGCAACCGTTGTTGCAGAAGTTCGAAAAAGTTGCTCGCAAAAGCCCGTTTGACAGAAATGTTTAAAAAGTGTTGGGTTTCCTACGAATCCGCAAGAGCGCGCGGGATGAAATTTTGACAATTTTTTTTTGAAAAACCATTGGTTTTTTGATGTTTTTATGTTAAAATCGCTACGAAAACTAAGGTTTTGGAAGGATTTCGTCTTGCGCGCGCGAATGTCCACTTTACCTTATTTTTTGCAAGGGATTCTTGAAGTTTGGTTATGTTAGAACAAGAAATGTCCATTTTAGCTTATTTTTTGCAAGGGAAAACCGATCGTAACAACACAACCGGATCCGGACCAACCCGTTTTGCCTGAGACTTCCTCACGAAAATGATGAAAATGAGGCTGCGGCCTAGGCGCGGCGGGGGGGCCATGCACCAGGGGTCCCAACAATAATTATTCTTTAGAAGTAATAATGTTCAACAACAACAACAACAACAACAACAACAGCAACCGCAACAGCAACAGCAAAAGCAACAGCAACACAACAACAACAACAACAACAACAACAACAACAACAACAACAACAACAACAACAACAATTACTAGCACGTGGGGACACTCCGTTCTCACCAGTGCCAGGGTTTTCATAGGAGGCGGGCAATACCCCCACTTTGTGGGGGGGCCGGTTCAAGCTCTACCAAATTTCCAAACGACTCTTCGCCACCACCCACACCCAGCTTCCCGCCCTATGACGTTCGGACACTTCACTTCGTGGCATGCGGACGACCGTGGCTACTATTCAGGGCCCCGCGGCCGACGACGACGGCGTGCGCGCGCGAAGAAAAAACGAATGTGTCCCGCATGGTATTATTTGACAGGGATGATGGCCCTGGCAGGTGCGCAACCGTTGTCGCAGAAGTTCGAAAAAGTTGCTCGCAAAAGCCCGTTTGACAGAAATGTTTAAAAAGTGTTGGGTTTCCTACGAATCCGCAAGAGCGCGCGGGATGAGATTTTGACATTTTTTTGTTGAAAAACCATTGGTTTTTTGATGTTTTTATGTTAAAATCGCTCCGAACACTAAGCTTTTGGAAGGATTTCGTCTTGCGCGCGCGAATGTCCACTTTACCTTATTTTTTGCAAGGGATTCTTGAAATTTGATTATATTAGAACAAGAAATGTCATTTTATAGTGTTTTTTGCAAGGGAAAACGGATTACAACAAAACAACCGGATCTGGATCACATCGTTTTACCTGAGGCTTCCTCACGAAAGTGATGAAAATGTAGCTGCGGCCTAGGCGGCGCAGGGGGGGCGTGCACCAGGGGGCCCAACAATAATTATTCTTTAGAAGTAATAATATTCAACAACAGCAACAACAACATCAACAGCAACAGCAACCACAGCAACAACAACACCAGCAATCAATCATGTTAACACTCTTCGCTCTTACTTGCACGCGTGTCTTGCATTTGAAAAACCTTAACCTCGACCCACCCACTTCGTCTTCGATCGCACCCCCTTTGGGGGGGGAATATCTTCCTTGTCGGCAACTGACTGAAGTGCGCGGAAACTCTCGAGCGAGAGCGCCGTTCCTGAATTCGGGGGCCTCTCTGGCCAGGGCCTCTCGGAGCAACTCGTGAGGAAACATCGCGAAGGAGCCCTTGTCATCGTCGCTGGACCTCAACCAACTCGATTGAGCTTCGAGGAAGTCTCAAGCGAGAACGCCGTTTCTAATTTCGTGGCCCTCTCTGGCCAGGGCCTCTCGGAGTAAATCGTGAGGCAGTATCGAACGAGAGCCCTTGTCGTCGCAGTTGGGCCTCCACCAACTTGATTTTAAATCACGAGAAAGTCTTGAGCGAGAGCGCCGTTCATGAGCTCGGGGGCTCAGTGGCCAGGGTCTCTCGGCGTAAATCGTAAGGATCGAGCAAGGGTCCTTGTCGCCGTGGCTGGGCCTCCGCCACCTCAAGTGAATTGCGAGGACGTCTCGAGCGAGACCGCCGTTCCTCGAGTTCGGGAGCCTCTCTGGCCAGGTTGTCTCGGGGTAAATTGTAAGGAAATATCGAGCGGGAGCCCTTGTCGTTGTAGCCGGGCCTCCAAAGGCACACATGTACAGTCAAACCCGCGCTCGAGCGGGAGCCCCGTTTTCAAAGAAAATGCTGCCAACGTCCAGGCGAGAGCGCGCGGAACCGCCTCCAGAGATCAACAACACTGGTTCTCTAGACATGAGTATTCAACAACAACAACAACAACAACAACAACAACAACAACAACAACAACAACGACGACGACGACGACGACGACGACGACAACAACAGCAACGACAACAACAACAACCACAACCACAACCACAACCACAACCACAATATAAACAAAACATAAACAACCCTCACCACAACAACAACAACAACAACAACCACTTTACCCGAACGCTCAGTGTTCTCACCAATGCCAGGGTTTTCATACGACGCCCGCCAATACCCCCACTTTGTGGGGGGGCCGGTTCAAGCTCTACCACATTTCCAAACGACTCTTCGCCACCACCCACACCCAGCTTCCCGCCCTATGACGTTCGGACACTTCACTTCGTGGCCTGCGGACGACCGTGGCTACTACACTGGCGCATGGGTACAGTGACTTGTTGTGGTAACATTTTCTGGACGCTAGCTTAGTATACGACTTTTCCCCCTGTTCCAACACTGGACACCTATACTGGTTTTTGGAAAAACCATTGTTTTTTTTAGGATTCGGACAGCGCGCGCGGGTAGAAATTTTGAAAAGTCGTGCAGGTGTTTTTCGAGGACCTACGGTGCGATTCGTGTGATTTTATGATGCGCGGTGCTAAAATTCTTAAAAACCCAATGGTTTTTGGAGATTTCGGCGTGCGCGCGCGAAGAAAAAACGAATGTGTCCCGCATGGTATTATTTGACAGGGATGATGGCCCTGGCAGGTGCGCAACCGTTGTCGCAGAAGTTCGAAAAAGTTGCTCGCAAAAGCCCGTTTGACAGAAATGTTTAAAAAGTGTTGGGTTTCCTACGAATCCGCAAGAGCGCGCGGGATGAGATTTTGACATTTTTTTGTTGAAAAACCATTGGTTTTTTGATGTTTTTATGTTAAAATCGCTCCGAACACTAAGCTTTTGGAAGGATTTCGTCTTGCGCGCGCGAATGTCCACTTTACCTTATTTTTTGCAAGGGATTCTTGAAATTTGATTATATTAGAACAAGAAATGTCATTTTATAGTGTTTTTTGCAAGGGAAAACGGATTACAACAAAACAACCGGATCTGACACATCTTTTACCTGAGGCTTCCTCACGAAAATGATGAAAATGTAGCTGCGGCCTAGGCGGCGCAGGGGGGGCGCGCACCAGGGGGCCCAACAATAATTATTCTTTAGAATTAATAATGTTCAACAACAACGGCAGCAACAACAACAGCAACAGCAAAAGTAGCAGCAACAGCAGCAGCAGCAGCAACAGAAGCAACAACAGCAACAACAACAACAGCAGCAGCAGTAACAACAACAACAACAGCAACAACCACAACAACAACAGCAGCAGCAACAACAACAACCACAGCAACAGTAAAAGCAAACAACAACAATAACAATAATATCCACAACGTCAACAACAACGACAAACGGAAAACTATAGCAAACAACTGATCTTCCAGACAGCGTAGGCGAGAAAGGAGACTAGTGCTCATAACAGCGACGAGCGAGGGAGACGAGGGGTAGAGAATTGGCGGGATCATACACTACATGGGAGTCGAGGTGGCGCTGGCCGCCGTGTGAACGGTGAGAAGGTGGCCTGCCCAAGAAGCCATGCCTCACTCAGTCTCACTGCTAACGGCCTTTGCTTTCGCTCCCGTAAAGCTCGATGGACTCGGTGGCATCGGTCTTCGGGCCGAAACTGAGCTGCGGCTTGACGTAAAGGCCGAATTTTCGAAGATCGAGTGTTTCTTGACCATCCTCTCCTCCTGGCCGATGGCTGTGACGGCCCTCAGAGTCTGCAGCGAGCTGCCCAGCAACCTGCGCTGCTCCATCATCTGACGCATCTGCTTCTGGATGCTTCGGACAGAGTTCGTGGTCTGCTCCCTGTACTGCCGCTTGCACGCCTCGGCCTCCACGACCGAGAACGTGGGCACGTCGTCCAGGTCCTTCGGCCCAGTTCCGCGAGGGAGGTACGGAGCCACAACCTCCCTACACAGGGCGTCGCTCGCGCCGACGTTCTTGAGGTTGCGAATCTTGATCCTCATTTTCTGCCGCTCCTTCGCGTGCTCCTCGGTACGCTTGGCAGCAAGCCGAAGATGGGCCAGCTCGTCGTCTCCGCTGGAGGGTGTCCACCGGGGGCCTCGGAACGCCTGCGAGTCTGGCTTGCCCGTACTCGCCCACAGCTGAGCAAAGGCCGCCTCGCTCCTCTGCTTCTTGGACTCCTCGTCCGCGGAGTGCTGATCCGGGAAGAGCTCCTCCATGTCCAGATGCCCGTCGTTCTTCGTGTCGAAGAGCTGGAACAGGTCCCGCGCTTTCCTCAGGCCAGTGATGTAGCGCCACCTCACGCCGAGGCGGTCCACGGCCTCGAGGAAGGCCGACGGGCCGACCCTGCCCTGCCCGAACCGGTCGAGGCTCCGGAACGCCTGCCGCGCGCCGCCGGTGCGGGCCACGAGCTCATCCCGTATAGCCTGGCGCTGCCGCTCCCGCCCACGAACGGCCCCGTGTGCCCTCCTGCGAGGTGGCGTCGCGTCAAGGACGATGGCGGCGCTGCTGCAATTCTGCGGCGAGGCGTCGCGGTTCTGCCTGTAGAAGCCCTGGCTGGTGCAGCCATGGACAATCGGCCTCTCCCTTGAGGAGGTACCCTCCAGCAGATGGGCAAAGCAGTCGGTCACCAAGCCTTCACGTGGCCCTCGGAAGGTTGCGGGAGGGCTGGAGAGCCCCGAGGGCGAATTCGGTAACCGTGCCTCGAGAAGAACTCTGATGGAGGCGCTGTTGCTATGTCGCGCAGCGGGCTTCTGTAGAAACAGGCCACGACAAAAATCCCTGTGATGCCGAAGGGGGACATGGTTTCGGATACCGCGTGAACCGCCTCCACTCTCGAACCCCCCAGAAGACGTCGGCCCCGCCTGTCCCATGATATACCTCTAGGACCACCTGGTGGGTGATGGAAAAGCTACGGGGAAGGGTGCAAATCTCGGTTTGCGATTGGCGTCCGGTCGGACTCGTGAACTCTATGTATATCGACCGGTGCATAAATATATACATATGAATATATATATATACACAGAAGCATACAGGTACACATACGAACATATACATACATTTCAAGGTCCCCAACCACGTTCTCCGATCAATGATTCCATTTAGGGGTTCTTACTTGACATAGCCATCTCGGGGTGAGTGGCGGTTTTTGCAGGCGGTGCCGCCCGTCGCCGCCGTCGCAATCGCCGTCTCCGTCGCCGCCGCCCGGGGCGAGTGGCGACTTTTTGCGGGCGGTACCGCCGGTCGCCGACGCCGTCATCATAGGTTATCAAAACTCCCTTGCAAAAAACGGCACGAAGTGCACACACGCGCGTCGTCGCGCGCGCATACCAAAATCCTTCAGAAACCTTCGGTTTCGGAAAGATGTCCAAATCGACTGCCCAAGAAGTTCTTGTGTTTGATATCTACACGTATCTAAGATTCGTTTTCTCACCTATTCTAAATTTACATAATATACATATAGCCCTTAAATGTTTACATGTTGGGTTGATATTACAACTTAAACAAAAATTTGTTTTGAAAACAAAAAACGCCACTGAATTCACACCAAAAGAATATGTCCGCGCGCGTGTTGGCGAATTCTTCGAGAAAAACATAGTTGTGTTCAACATTTTCTCCGGAAATACTACCAAACGGGCTTCGCGCGCGCATGCCGAAATCGTTCGAACGCCCCTGCGCGCGCGCCGTCGACAAATTCCGCGTTTGCAACAACTAGGACGATGTGCACACGCGCGCGTCGTCACGCGCGCGTGCCAAAATTCTTCACAAACCTGCGGTTGCGTAGCGAGTTCAAAGTCGAATGTCTAAAAAGCATGCAGCAATGACTGGTTTGCAACATCCGTGTCCAAAGAAGCGCGCGCTCGCGCCCTTGCGAACTTTTGAGAAAACCATTGGCTATTCAACATGTTCATACCATGCTACCAAACTGGCTTCGCGCGCCGCGTGCCGACATCATTCGCACGTCCTTGCGCGCGTGCTGGGGGTGGCACGATCCGCGTCAAATAAGCCATGCGGGCCACTCTCGCGCGTCGGCGCGCGCACGTCGAACTCTTTCCAAAGCCTTCACCACCGACGCGAGGACGCCGCCATCGTCGTCGGCGTGATCAGCATCGGCGCCCGCAGTGGCCGCGCCTTCGTCGGTGCGCATATCGCCACCAGCATCGCCACTATCATCATCGCGTCTACCGTTGTCGGCATTGCCATGATACCGAGCCCGCCCAAGTCGCCGACTCGAAGCGAAGCGCCCGCTGGGATGCGCCCAGCGGTCAGCGCCACCGCGGCCGCATCGGCGGCGCCAAACTAGCTGGCCGCTGCGCGCGCTAGGATTCGGGCGGCCGCAGAGACGCACCAGCCAACGCCAAACATGCATCGCAATCGTCACCGCGCGGGTTTTGCAAACCACGTTGCGGGTGGGTGGGTGGGATGTTTGCCAGAGCAAGGGATGCGTCAGTCAACTCGTTTGTAAAAACCAAGTGTGTTCTCCTTTCTATTTAAAAAATAAGTTCTACCACGCCCACCCACCCGGACTTCTCGACTCTCCGGGAACCGATGCAAAACACATGCGATTCTGACCCAATGTCCATCCTACCTGAGAATTCATACCATTCCAACTAAGCTGGCATCGCACCCCCCCGCCATCCGTTGCAAAAAACGATGCGCGCACACTCGATGATCAAGACTCATAGGTTCTCATAAATCCCTTGCAAAAAAAAACGGGCGAAGTGCACACGCGCGCGTCGTCGCGCGCGCATGCCGAAATCCTTTTTAAAATATTCGGTTTCGGAGGGGGTTCAAAATCAAGCGTCCAAAAAAACACATTCATCAAAAATTGCTTCACACGGATGTTCAACAAAAGCGTGCGCGCGCGCTCTTGCGAATTCTTGACGGCTCCAAAATGGTCTCCAAGATAGCTAAGGTGGCCCAGGATGGCCTCCAAGTTCGCCCAAGATGGTCCAAAATGGCCTCGAAGACGGCCCAAGAGAGTCCAGGATGCCTCCAAGTTCGCACAAGAAACACCCAAGACGGCCCCAGAGGCCAACAAGAGGCCTCCAAGACGGACCAAGAGGACTCGAAGAAGTCCTCCAGGGTCCTCAAGGACGGCCCGAAGAGGTAAAAATCATTGATGTTCCATTGGTTTTTGAAGGATGTTGGCTTTTGCTCGTTTTCGGATTCCGACGGCCCAAGATTGCCCAAGAGGCCATCAAGATCGCCCCCAAAGTGCCCAAGAAGCCTTCAAGACAGCCGAAGGACGGCCCAAGAGGCCCCCAAGACGGCCCCAAGAGGCCTCAAGACGGCCCAAGAGGCCCCCAAGAAGCCCCAGATGGCCTCCAAGACTGCCAAGATGTCCTCCCGGATGCCTTCAAGACGGCCAAGATGGCCCGAAGATGCACCCAAGACGGCGCCAGATGGCCTGAAGATGGCATTCGATTGTCCAAAAGGCCCGCCAGAGCCCTCCAAGACGGCCCAAGACCCCTCCAAGACGTCCTCCAGAAGGCCCGACAAGGTTGAAATCATTGGTTGTCCGATGGTTGTTGAAAGATGTTGGCATTGTCTTCTTTTCAGCTCTCCGACGGCCCAAGCGGCCCCCAACATCGACCCAAGAGTGCCCAAGAGACCTCCAAGATGGCCCATGACAGCCCAAGAGGCCCCCAAGAGGGCCCAAGAGGTCCAAAAGACGCCCAAGGTGGCCTCCAAGACGGCCAAGATGGCCTCGAAGATGCCTCCAAGACGCCCAAGATGGCCGTCAAGACGGCTGAGATGGGCCGAAGACGCACCCAAGACGGCCCAAAATGGCATCAAGATGGCCCAAGACGGCCCGATAGGCTGGCAAGAGGCCTCCAAGGCGGCCCAAGAGGCCTCCAAGACGTCCTCCAGAAGGCCCGAAAAAGCCAAAGTCATTGATTGTCCTACGATTATTGAAGGATTGTGGCATGTTCTTCTTTTCAGCTCCCCCACGGCCCAAGACGGGCCAAGAGGCCCCCAACATCGACCCAAGAGAGCCCAAGAGGCCTCCAAGATGGCCCCATGACAGCCCAACTGGCCCCCAAGAGGGCCCCAACAAGGCCCCAAGACGCTCAAGGTGGCCTCCAAGACCGCCAAGATGGCCTCCAAGATGCCTCCGAGACGGCCAAGATGGCCTCCAAGACGGCCAAGATGGCCCCAAGATGCCTCCAAGACGGTCCCAGATGGCCTGAAGATGGCGTTCGACTGTCCAAAAGGCCCGCCAGAGCCCTCCAAGACGGCCCAAGACCCCTCCAAGACGTCCTCCAGGAGGCCCTAAAGCTCGGAAACCACCTGGTCCGATAGCTCTCCCGACTCGGTGTTCCCCGAGGGCGTTCGAAACCCACTCGGAGAACGCGTGGCCCGATAGCTTGGCCAAACTCAAACCCAACTTTCGGCCACGCAGGCGCTTCCAAAAAGGCAAGGGGCGGCGGTGATTTGCCGTAGGCGCCTTCGATGGATTGACCGAAATTTGTGTAACTATACGAATCTATGCATATAGGACATATGAGTGGTCCTAGGGTATCACCATCGATATACGATCTAGATGTGCAGATATGAAGGTGTACGTGTGTGAAAATGCGAATATGTCTGTATGGATGCATGTATGTGTATATGCATGTACGTATGTGTGTTTGTGTGCACGTGTGTATGCGTGCATGTGTGTAGGTGTGTGTATGTATGTGTATGTATGTGTATGTGTGTACATGTATGTTTGTATGTATGTATGTACGTACATACGTGCGTGCGTGCGTGCGTGCGTATGTATGTATGTATGTATGTGTGTGTATGTATGTATGTGTGTGCGCATGTATGCATGTGTGTATGTATAAATGTGTGTATGTATGGATGCCTGCATGTATGTATGTGTGTAAGTAGGAATGTGTGTTATGTGTATGTATGTATGAATGTGTGTAGTCATGAATGTCCGTGTGTATGCATGCATGCACGTATGTGTACATATGGTTGTATGTGTGTATGTGTGTAGGTGTGAATGTACGTGCGTACATACGTGCGTATGTATGCATGTGTGTACGCATGGATGGATGTTCGTGTGTATGATTGTATGTATGTATATATGTATGTATGTCTGCAGTTATGCGGGTATGCGTGTCTATGTATGTTTGTGTGTGTGTGCATGTGGATGGATGGATGGATGGATGCATGTATGTATGGATGTATGGATGCATGTGTATGCATGCATGCATGCATGCATGCC